CCCCAATGTCCCCAAATCCCCAAATCCCCCCCAATGTCCCCAAATCCCCTCAGTGTCCCCAAATCCCCCAGTCTCCCAAAGGTCCCCACTGTTCCCAATTCCCCTGATGTCCCCAGTACCCCCAATGTCCCCAATACCCCGAAATGTCCCCAAACGTCCCCAAATAACTCCCAATACCCCAAATGTCCCCCCCAATGTCCCAGGTGTTCCTAAATCCCCCGAAATGTCCCCAAATTCGGTGCCACTTGGGGCCGTTTTGGTGACACTTTGGGCCTATTTGGGACACTCGGGGGCCACTTGGGGCCATTTTGGTGACACTTGGGGCCATTTTGGTGACACTTTAGGGCCACTTGTGGTCATTTCGGGGACATTTGGGGCCATTCGGTGACACTTGGGGGAGACTTTGGGGCCATTTGGGGACGTTTGGTGACATTCGGTGACACTTGGGGGACACTTTGGGGCCATTTGGGGACGTTTGGTGACATTTGGGTCGTTTTAATGCCATTTTAGTGCCTTTTGGGGCCATTTTATGGACACTTGATGCCATTTTGGGGCCATTTGGGGACGTTTTATGGACATTTGATGTCATTTTGGGGCCATTTTGTGGACATTTGATGCCATTTTGGGGCCATTTGGGGACGTTTTATGGACATTTGATGTCGTTTTGGGGCAGTTTTGGGGACACTTGATGCCATTTTGGGGCCGTTTGGGGCCACTTTGGTGCCACCCGGTGCCGTTTTGGTGACGTTTGTCCCCCGCTGTCCCCTCAGTCTCTGGTGATCCCCGAGAAGTTCCAGCACATTCTGCGAGTGCTCAACACCAACATCGATGGGCGGCGCAAGATCGCCTTCGCCATCACCGCCATCAAGGTGACAACGGGGACAGCTGGGGACAGCAGGAGGGGGGATGGGGACACCTTGGGGACAGCCTGGGGACAGCAGGATGGGGCTGGGGACAGCCTGGGGACAGCAGGAGAGGGGCTGGGGGCAGCCAGGGGACAGCCTCGGGGGGGCTGGGGACAGCCTGGGGACAGCAGGAGAGGGGATGGGGACACCTTGGGGACAGCCTGGGGACAGCAGGAGGGGGGATGGGGACACCTTGGGGACAGCCTGGGGACAGCAGGAGAGGGGATGGGGACACCTTGGGGACAGCCAGGGACACCTTGGGGACAGCGGGGACACCTTGGGGACAACCAGGGGACAGCAGGAAGGGGCTGGGGACACCTTGGGGACAGCCTCGGGGGGGCTGGGGACAGCCAGGGACACCTTGGGGACAGCCAGGGGACAGCCTCGGGGGGGCTGGGGGCAGCCAGGGACAGCCAGGGGACAGCTGGGGACACCTTGGGGACAACCAGGGGACAGCAGGAGGGGGCTGGGGACA